ATACACCGCCGGAGGCATTCACATAGAGTCACATTTTTGTTCTAGTATCGAGTTGTAACATTGAGTTATGAGTAAATAAAAGTGTGATGATCATCGTTACTAGAGCATTGTCCCATGTGAGGAAAGTGAAATAAAAAAGAGAGGCCAAAGAAGCCCAAATAAAAAAAGAGGCCAAAGAAGCCCAAACAAAAAAATGAGAGAAAAAGAGAGAAGGGACAATGTTACTATCCTTTTTCCACACTTGTGCTTCAAAATAGCACCATGGTCTTCATGATAGATAGTTTCTTATTTTGCCACTTGCATATACTAGTGGGAATTTTTCATTATAGAACTTGGCTTTTATATTCCAATGACGGGCTTCCTCAAAATGCCCTAGGTCTTCGTGAGCAAGCAAGTTGGATGCACACCCACTTAGTTTCTTTTGATGAGCTTTCATACACTTATAGCTCTAGTGCATATGTTGCATGGCAATCCGTACTCCTCGCAATGACATCAATTGATGGGCATCTCCATAGCCCATTGATTAGCCGCGTCAATGTGAGACTTTCTCCTTTTTTGTCTTCTCACACAACCCCCATCATCATATGCTATTCCACCTATAGTGCTATATCCATGGCTTGCGCTCATGCATTGCGTAAGGGTTGAAAAGGTTGAAGCGCGTTAAAAAGTATGAACCAATTGCTCGGCTTGTCATCGGGGTTATGCATGATGGGAGCATTTTGTGTGACGAAAATGAAGCATGGCCAAACTATATAATTTGTAGGGATAAGCTTTCTTTGGCTATGTTATTTTGATAAGACATAATTACATGGTTAGCATGCTTGAAGTATTACTATTTTTATGTCAATATTAAACTTTTATCTTGAATCTTTTGGATCTGAACATTCATGCCACAACAAAGAGAATTAAATTGAAAATTATTTTAGGGAGCATTCCACATCAAAAATTCTGTTTTTATCATTTACCTACTCGAGGACGAGCAAGAATTAAGCTTGGGGATGCTTAATACGTCTCCAACATATCTATAATTTTTTTATTGTTCCATGCTATTATATTATCTGTTTTGGATGTTTAATGGGCTTTATTATACCTTTTTATATTATTTTTGGGACTAACCTATTAATCGAAAGCCCAGTGCAAATTGCTTTTTTTGTCTATTTCAGTGTTTCGTAGAAAAGGAATATCAAACGAAATCCAAACGGAATGAAACCTTCGCGAGGATCGTTTTTGGAACAAACGCAATCCAGGAGACTTGGAGTGGACGTCAAGAAAGCAGCGAGGAAGCCACGAGGCAGGAGGGAGCGCCCCCCGCCCTCGTGGGCCCCTTGCAGCTCCACTGACCTACTTCTTTCGCCTATACATACTCTTATACCCTGAAACCTTCGGGGAGAGCCACGAAACACCTTTTCTACCGCCGCAACCTTCTGTACCCGTGAGATCCCATCTTGGGCTTTCTCCGGCGATCTGCCGAAGGGGGATTCGATCACGGAGGGCTTCTACATCAACACCATAGCCTCTCCAATGATGTGTGAGTAGTTTACCACAGACCTTCGGGTTCATAGTTATTAGCTAGATGGCTTCTTCTCTCTCTTTGGATCTCAATACAAAGTTCTCCTCGATCTTCTTGGAGATCTATTCGATGTAACTCTTTTTGCGGTGTGTTTGTAGAGATCTGATGAATTGTGGGTTTATGAACTTGATTATCTATGAATATTATTTGATTCTTCTCTGAATTCTTATATGCATGATTTGATATCTTTACAAGTCTCTTCGAATTATCAGTTTAGTTTGGCCTACTAGATTGATCTTTCTTGCAACGGGAGAAGTGCTTAGCTTTGGGTTCAATCTTGCGGTGCTCGATCCTAGTGACAGAAAGGGAAACGACACGTATTGTATTGTTGCCATCGAGGATAAAAAGATGGGGTTTATATCATATTGGTTGAGTTTATCCCTCTACATCATGTCATCTTGCCTAATGCGTTACTCCGTTCTTATGAACTTAATACTCTAGATGCATGTTGGATAGCGGTCGATGTGTGGAGTAATAGTAGTAGATGCAGAATCGTTTCGGTCTACTTGACACGGACGTGATGCCTATATTCATGATCATTGCCTTAGATATCATCATAACTATGCGCTTTTCTATCAATTGTTCGGCAGTAATTTGTTCACCCACCATACTACTTGCTATCTTGAGAGAAGCCACTAGTGAAACTATGCCCCCCGGGTCTACTTTACATCATATAAGTTTCCAATCTATAATTCTAGTTTACTATTTATTTTGCAATCTTTATTTTCCAATCTATACCACAAAAATACCAAAACTATTTATCTTATTATGTCTATCAGATCTCACTTTCGTAAGTGACCGTGAAGGGGTTGACAACCCCTTTATCGCGTTGGTTGCGAGGTTCTTGTTTGTTTGTGCAGGTACTAGGTGACTTGCGTGTAGTCTCCTACTAGATTGATACCTTGGTTCTCAAAAACCGAGGGAAATACTTACGCTACTTTGCTGCATCACCCTTTCCTCTTCAAGGGAAAACCAACACATGTTCAAGAGGTAGCAGTGACAAGGTGATGTATTACGGAACGAGTAAAGAGACTTGTCGGTAATGAAGATACCGATGATTGAATCCCGGGCAAGTAACATACCGATGGACAAAGGGAATTACGTATGTTGTCATAACGGTTGGACCGATAAAGATCTTCATAGAATCAGCGACCGTGGTGGTATGCTTGATAGCATAGAATTGGTGGATGAGCATCTGGTGTTTGTCCCTGCCGAATCGTGTACAGAGAAGGTATGTGAACGAGTCCCGGTCCAGCCCGGTCAGTTTCCTCTGAACGGACTGGAGCCAGATGCCCACAGGGCCAGAGAAGTTGAGAATGGCCATGCGAACACGGTAAGAATCATGAACAGGGAACATCTGGAAGTACTGCTCGCAGAGCGTCTTCCAGAGTTGTGGGTTTTCGTCGGTAAAAATGGGGAAGTTCATGGACGGCGGTGGCTGGTCCAAGGTGGTGAGGATGGAAGACGATAGTGGGGGCGTAGCGGCAGGAACTAGCGGAAGGGGCACCCTACCTATGACTGGGAGTGCCGCCAGCGACGCAGGGGTCGCCCCCTCCCCCCTGGTGAGATCAGCGACGCCGTGGCCATCGGGCCCGAGAGGTGGTCCTCGCGCCTAAAGCAGAAGTGGGAGGATGCTGGGGTTTGCCGTGCCGCTGGGTGCAGGTGGCGCCGCGGATTGAAGAGTCGCCACGGTGGTCTTCAGCTTCCCGACTCGGCATCGGGCTTCTAGTGGAGGAGATCCTCAATCTGCGAAGACTGGGTCTATAGCTGCTTGAGGACGTGAGCAGAGTCGGCCTTGGCGTCTTGGTGGAGCTTGTCCAGGTACTCCTTCAGAGCTGGATCCATGGCGGCGAGGAGTACTTGCCACGTGTGGACAGGGTGGCGAGTCTCCAGGGTTGTCGCAACGGAGAGGGGTGGTGATGGTCTCTGATACTAGGATGTTAGGGTGACAATCGATCTATCACTCGAATTCAGATACAATCTCAAATCCGATTACAATCAACCGTAGTTGTTCTTGCGAGAGGAGATGGAATGGGAATGAGGAAGAGAGCCGCCATTCGTCTTGATCCAACTGGATGCATCACTCGTCTAGCCGGTGGGGATAAGTAGGTGCTGCGGTTGGGCTAAACCTAGCTGGTCCACTCGGGCCCAACGAACCTCCTGTTGGGCTGCGCGATACGGGCCGGCCTGTTCAAGACGCGCCTTGGTTCGTAGCCGTGTGCCTCGCTTGGTTTGGTCGCCGTGGCAGGCTGGCTGCCTATTGCTGCCACAACGCTGTTCCCCTCAATAGTCCGTGCGCTGACAAGATAAATAAGTTAGTGATGATGACCCCCTTAGGTACATAGGAACACTTTTCTACAAACCAAAGCAAATATAACGTCATCATAAAAATGAAAAGATAAGAACCGAGCAGAGGACAGGAGACCAACATCTACTTCATCAACTTTGTTTTGTTAGATCCATCATGAAATAGATTTTCAAAGTGTATTTATATGTTGTTGTACATGATGGTACAATTAGAATTATGGAACTTTTGACTGGTGGGAAAAACTTGAACCATTTACTTTTAGCAGATATTATTTTGTGTGGTATTATACTGTTTAGTGCTAGTTGAGTTACGCTTAAGCACACAAATTATTACCCCAAAGCTGGAAAACCATAGGTGGTTTTATTTTTGACTTCGTCGCAACAAGCAAAAACACAACGGATTATAACTTGCCATTTCCGTCGGCGACATGAAGAAACTGATGCACACCACTACAAGATTGGACAATTTTAGACGCGTGTACAATAATTTCAGGCCTAAGCGTCGCATCCTGTTCCATCTCTAAATATCATATCATGTCCAACCTTTCATTGTAGAAATTCGATGAGGAAGTTGCCCCTCGAATATTCCCACATTGGGTGGCACTGCTTGGCCTGTGGAGCTGTACACGATTCTTAATTCATCACCAATCACCGAAATGCATCTCCAGCTTTTGCTCCATACGTTTCCTTTCTCCCTCGAGCCACTTGGTGCAGATTCTTATGCCTTTCAACGAGCATCCCCATAATAGATGGCCCAATTAAAACAGCACCAAATTTACATGTTCGTCGACAACGAGTATCTATCCTATCATCAATCGTCAAGATATGTAGAGTATTTCTCAAAAAAAAATCCAAGATATATAGAGTACCAAAAAGAAAATGAAGATAAGTGGAGAATCTACACCGCGTTATGAATAAGCTATGCTGCAGGTGGGGTCCGAACCGTGAAAAACGTAACCAGCACGAATACGTCACCGGCGGTGTAATGGTGCAGGCCGCGCTTATATAAGAGCTTTACGGCCGAACAGGCAGCTGCACATTCAGAGAGATACATAAATTCATACATCCACGGCCAAGGTAGCTCTCGTCGGAGCAAGGAAGGCCGGAGACTGATCAGTTTGATATGGCGATCAGGAACGTGACGGCGGCGACAAGGTCGCTGGACGGGGACATGACGGTGGACGAGTTCAAGGAGTGGCTCCGGCGGTTCGACGTGGACCGCGACGGCCGCATCAGCCGCGACGAGCTGCGGTGCGCGATGCGCACCATCCGGACGCGCTTCTCGGGGTACAAGAGCAAGCGCGGCATCGAGTACGCCGACGCCGACGGCGACGGCTACGTCGACGACGGCGAGGTGGACGGACTCATCGAGTACGCGCAAAAGAGCCTCGGGCTCAGGATCGTCGCCTACTAGAGAGGAGTCAAGCTAGGTCTATCAAGCGAAGCTAGCTCCATGCATGCTACCTGCTAGAATAAGCGCTGATCTATCGTTTGCCACCCTGTACCTTTGCTTTCTTGTCTACTTATTAGCTAATCTGTGCACCGACGTGTGCGTTTGTGATCTATCATGATGTATTTGGAGCGTGTGGCACAGGCGGCCGGCAGGCTCGCCTTTGCCTATTTCTTGCCACGGTTACCGTCGATGTTAATTTGCCCTCTATGAGAGAAACTGAAAATATGTTCTTGTCAGTCTGGCGCCCGTTTATTTTTGGTGATCTGGTCTGTAAGATGCATCGATCGTCTTACATTTCTCCGAAGGCCGGCAATTAGTAAGGGCAACTCTAACCGAACCCTCAAAAAACTTTAACTCCACAAAACAATCCATTTTAAGTAGACTTTTTTCTTTCCATTTTCTGTAGTTAAGCGGTTAACTTCTGAAAAAAAATGAGGAATTAAGCCTCAAAAGTTATCCCTCTTGCTTAAATTTGAGCAGCCGCCTCCACTTCTTACTAAAAATTTCCCTCCCAAGTCGCTCCTCCTCGAACACCCCCCAGTGCACAACACCTCCCCAGCGACCGGCGTGACCATGCGTGTGCACCCCCACCAAGCTCCGGCAAGATTCCGGTGAGACTCACGGAGATTTCGCAGAAGTTTTCCTCGATTTCTCCTCTATCACCCCAAGACATGACAGCGCTCCCTCCCGTCGTCCCCGGCCAAGATGGCAGGCACAACATCACCTAGATCACTACACGCACTTACTCCCTCCATTTACTTATACAAGGCCACTAAAAAATATACATTTTGCATCTTTTTTTTGAAAAAGAAGATGTACTCTCGGCCTCTGCATTTGGGCGATACATGCAATCATTTTACTAATTATTCACAAAGCCCTTACAAGGTAATACATCAGTAAGCATGAAGTCACCATCTTGACAACATATGTCGCTATTTCTATCCCCGTGATGAAGGGGTGCTGAATGTCCGAGCCTAATACCAAACAGACATTGCACCAACACCTAACACCTAATGTCGGATGCCCCATCCAAGCCACAATACTTGGAGTGGGTAAAAATTAATCGAGACCACCAACAATAATCGAGGCAAAAATTAATGATGTTTCCTCATGCTAGTAACTTGTTTAATACTTGCATGCATGTATTCATAATGACACTCATCTACTTCTTCCATTCAGTTTTCTTGCATGCATGTGGTGTCTTAATGATCACAGTAAACGAGAAAAAAAAATTGGTTGCAAAACATGTATTAAATATTTACCTTCCTACCTGTAATTTGATTTTGCGGCCTTGTATATAAAAATGAAAGGAGTACTACAAAGAAGCGCCTACAAAGAACATGTGTGTCAACCCCATCATTGATTCCGACAAATCGTGGTGTCTCGGATCACACCATCGTGTCACTAGAAGAGTGAAGAGGAGAAAACCCCAATCAGACGAAGAGGTGCGTAAATCTTGGTGCATAGAGGATGAATTTTGCCGACTTTCTCGACTCCTTCCTCGCACACGTATGCCACGCTTGGTGAGTCTCCGTCAAATTGCTTTTTGTAGATCATCTACCCTAGGTCCTAGCTAACTCCAGGACATCATCTACTGCCTAGAAATCATCGTTTGTTGTGTGGAAGGAAGAAGAGGAAGGGATACTTTTATGTGGGGTATACTTTGTTTGAGGGTTCGGTTAGCTCCACAAGTTTTTGAACTCATATTTGAGGAGTTAAGATTTGAGGACTTAAATTTTGAGGGTTCGGTTAGAGATGCCCTAATGATATTAAACTGTGTACAAGTAATATAACCAAATTTGCATGCTTGGATTTCTAGCTAGAGGGGGGTCTCTCCGGTTCATGCAACAGAATATTTTTTTTTCCTTCAAACCGAAGCATTTCTATTGGAATTTCTAATATGTCGCTCATATGCCCCATAAAAGAGTTAGTAAACTCCGGCTTGTGCAAGTAAGATGAACACAACCTCCACATGCAGAACCAAAATGCTTTGGGAACGAAGAAGCAGGACTCTCAAAATGCAACTGCGATGCAAAGACTAGACACTACCTGTTAGAGTTGTGTCGAATATTTATGTACAAAGTAGGTTACACATGTGTCGGCGTCCAGAGCGACCGGCTGTGGTATTGTAGGGGTGTCATAGGAAGGAACGTCTATAGTCAAGCCGGCCCCGGGGATGCAGCCACACCGGTGAACCTCGTTAACAAATTTCGATGTCGTGCCTCGTTTGATTGCTTGGTCCTCGGATAATCGACGACATGCCTCAAATTTATTCTAACAAGTAATATCATGAACAAGGTTGAAAAGGTCTGAGAGGCGATTGAGGTTGATATAGAGGAGGAAGGAAGCATTGACATAAATCTGCAAGAGCGATCGCGATACGGGAGTGTTCCTCGGCGAGTTGTGATCAAAGATGCAAAATTGTTCGTGTTTTGATCTTCAAGCAGCAATCGGACGCAGCAGGTCGGCGACTCGTGGCACGTAGTCACGAAACCTCGGACGAGATCGATCTGGAAGCAGGCAGCGGCGGAAACTGCTACGGTTGCACGGCTACAAACTGCGGTCGGTAGGCAGGACGTGCGGTGATCGGCCGGCTAACTGATCGGGCGAGCGTCAAGCGGCGAACGCGAGTTGCGGCAGCAGCAACGTGGCACGTGGCAGATGGTGGCCCAAGGCCCTGGTGTGGATGGCTGAGCGGCCGTGTAGATGCTAGATGCATACGGTGCGAGGAGTATGTAGTACGAGATTTGTTATTGGAAAAAAAAGATCGAGTCTCAAGAGGAGCCGTGTTCTCCTCGTCTCTGTGGCCAAGACCTGCACGCTGGTTAATAGCAGCGGCAGCAGCCGGCAAGGGAGACAAAGGCACGAGAGGCAGCAGATCAGTCAGCGGAGAAAAATCCATTCATACGTACTCCCTCTGTTTTTTACTAAATCAGCAACGAATAATATAGAACAGAGGGAGTATACATTAGAAAGCACAGACTTGACAAAGCAAAGCTAGCATCAGATATTGAGCCAGGAGCATATCATGTGAAAGACCAAGTTTGTTTGGATTTTGCTATTAGTACATCGGGGTGTACCTCATCAGGTTTTGCTCATATACTTGGGGCATTGCGGTGGAAGCTCGATAATTTTTCATTGGGTCTGTCATACGAAGAGTCATGGCGCCAACAGGTACCATGTTTGAGGTGGAGAAGTTCAACGAGACATAAAACTTTGGGTTATGACAAACAAGGGTGGAAAATTTGTTGACGCAACATGGATGCTTGAAGGTGTTGCAGGAAGTCATGTCAGCTAAGATGGAATTATCATGTGATGGATGGAAATTCGTGAAAGATGATCTGGGAGCCTGGTCGGACTAGACAGTCTGACGGATCGACGAGGATGTCGGTTGGTACAGAAGACGGTGGTGAGATCGGCGACGGCGACATATGAGCGAGATGCTAATGATGACCGACTTCTGGGTGTGGAAACACGTGGCGCAAGCCTGAAGGCTTGTGTGGCTTCGACAAGACTATGGCACGGGGTTGATTCAAGATGATGCACATGTGAGCTTGAAGTCGACGGGGCACGAGGGTGGACTGATCATCTACCATGGAGTCATGTTGAAGGTGGAGCTGGATTGAGGGGCTACGGTGTAAGTGCACAGAGAGTCGAAGCCTATTCAGCAGAAAAAAGCGAGTGACATGCAGTTCAGACTGGAGCCCAGTGATCTAATGGAAGTGTGAAACTCGTCATCGGTCGATGATGATCGGTGGTACTCTGCAGTGGGGGTTGAGTGGTGTGGATTTGCGACCCTTGAGACACGACCAGGACAATGGAGACTCGACGCGGTAATAGCAGCGAGGCGTGCAGTATGCACGGGGCATGAAGACGGGCCAGAGCTCTGGTGGTCATACATGTGGTGAGACAACTGCGGATTTGACTCGGGATGACTACAAGCAACGGTGAAATTTCTTCAATTTTTAAAAAGGCGGTCAAGAAAGGAGCGGTGATGTTGAGTTCAGATAACTCTTATGTGTGACACTCAATATGTGAGTTGTTCACTTTCACGCAGCTCAGTGATCAGTGTGTGATGGCGTTGGACTGATACTTTGAAAGTTGGGAGCGCAAACTAGAGTAATGTGGAACTTGATTTCGCTCCAACGTTGACTGTGGTCAAGAAAAGAAGGGATTACAAGTTGCAGGTAGAGTTATATGGAGTCTTTGGAGTAGCAGTGGAACTTACAGGGTAAGCTCAAGTCCAATATACATGAAGACGCATTGATAAATTCTTGATGGTGGAGAATATTCACCAAGATGGAGTTTGTTAGAGTTATGTCGAATATTATGTACAAAGTAGGTTACAGTTGGACTTGTAGTTGTATTGTGTTTAGATAGGACATGGAGTCATATCCAACTAGGACACTTGTATTCTAGGCCTCTCATATATAGTGGAGTAGACACACGATATAACTTATGCTGACATAATAGCACAGAAACGCAAAGAGAGCTGACGGCATGTGCCGGCGTCCAGGGCGAACGGGTGCTGTATTGTAATGGTGTCATGGGGAGGAGTATCTATAGTCAAGCCCGGAGATGTAGCCACATCAGTGAACCTCGTTAACAAATCTTGATGTTATGCCTCGTATGATTGCTTGGTCCTCGGATGATCAACGACATGCCTCGAATTTATTCTAACACTACTTATGATGGATAAAGGTTCGGACGACCGTATGTGGTGTATGCATGAGTATATAATCTAGACAGGAGACTCATTTTTTCTCTTATAAAAAAAAGACATAATTTCTACATAGCTATAATGACCCGTAGAGAGCGGCTGCTCAAACCAGGATAAGTGCCCTTAACAAGTTAATCCCCCTAAAACAAATACTATACGTATTATTGACATTACATAGGGGTATTAGTTAAATGCCACCAGGACTATGTGCCACACGGCGCTATTAAAATGACAGGCGAGG